TACTTCCAAGTCAGCTGTTTGCAGCGGGAACTGCTACTACTGTTATTTCGACTTGGATCTCATCTCCCTGTGGCTCTTGATGAAAGCGTGTTATCCAGTACGTGTCGCACTGATGCCTTGCTCAGAAATTGTTTTGCTTTCTCTGATAAATTAAGTAAATGAATTCTCAGATAGTTCCATGCATTTTTGATTTTCAGTGGTCTTGTTGATCAGGACCATATACCAATTCAGTGTGTGTCTTCTCTATGACAACAAAAGCTGGGGTTTAAGGCCAGAAAACATGATCTATTCACAGAGAGAGAGGGAGGGAGGGAGGGAGGGAGGAAGGCAGAGAAGAATGTGCGTTGCCTCACCCAAGTAGCAACCTACCTCTTTTGGCAATTAAAGAATGCCAGGGCCCTATATGGAACTGCCATTTAAATCAACAAGAAGAAACAAAGGCAGACCAAGGCAAATGCTGGGTAATTCTGGTAATTCTGAAGTTTTTAAAAACAGAGTTCAAAAGTATTTATGCTACTTATTACCTGTAACTAATGTAACTTAGTGGGCACTGTTAGCAGCATAAGGTCTAAAGTTTAGTTCTGGCAAAGCTGGGGAGGTTTGTAAATAGTAAAGTAGGTAAAGAGCTTTTGTGAATCTATAAAGTCAACACAACCTCTTACTTAGGGGCTCTGGAGGGGGGAAAGAAAAACAAAAAACCACAACGATCCATGTTTAAATGCAATGTAAGACAAATGAACCATGATAGGAGAATCCAGTCAATGTCCTACCTGAGCTAAATACCAAAATGCTCCAATGACTGAGGAGATAAAGGCAAATATTTCTCAAATCTTAGTTTAACAATCTAGTATGGTACAAGTAACTCAGATAAGGATATTATCATTCAAGTTTGCAGACTGTAGTAATGTGATCAACTTTGAAAATGGTAGCTTAAAATGACAACTCCACTTCTTCCTCAAAGACCTTCCCTCCTAAAATAGACCATGTTGAATTCCACCTTCTCAAACACCATGACCACCTCAACAGAGACACTAACAACAGAAAAAGAGAAAAACATCAAAAGCACAAACACTGCTCTTTCCTCTGTGCTAACATTCTTTATATTTTCCTTCTTTCCCTGAATTTCCAGCATCTATATTACCCTTAGTACGATCTGAGTTCACATTTGGGATCCAGTTGCAGCTGTAAGAGAGATATAGATGGCAACATCTTTACTGTCAAGCAACCCACTATCTTAACAAACAAGAGGAGTCCAGGACTTTTAATACTGAACAAAAGGAATCAGAATCCACTGTGGCAAGAACACACTACTGCTAACAAATTTGAACAAGGAGTCAGAGAAGCATTTTCATGAAAAAATTGATTTTCCCTTGCCTTGCAATAGTTCTTCCAGATTATTCTGCAGTTCCTGTTCAGTCAATAAATCTGTGCAAGGAAAAACACATGTGCTTAGCACAGCCATTTTTGCCAGCAGGCACAAAACCAGCTTGGCACTTGCTGAATAGACCACCAACTGCAGCAGCACTTTACTACATGGTACTCCACACAGTGCCAGCTGAGAAGAGACTGAAGGAAAAAGAAGTGATGCTGGCTAGAACAACCTTGACAGTCAGGTAGGGCCATTTTTAAAATTTATGAGGTACAGGGCCACTCCACATACCCTTCCTACTGTATAGAGCTTCTCTTCCTCGCCTGTTCATTGAAGAAGAGATGCTAAAGCCAGCTGTTTTCCCCTCTTTCAGTTGGAAGCATGAAAGTGGCCCTTTGAGGGGCGAAGTTTGTGGTTACATGTAATTGTTTGCTTTTTTTCTTGTGCATTTAGACATGTGCAGCAGCACAAATGCTTGAGATCCATCCTAGAACTGTTCTTCTGGTTGAGCAGCATCGAGAGCAGACATTTCAGCTGAGATCAGCATCAGCTTGTCATTCAGCACTGCCATGAAAGAGTCCAGTTAGGGCAGCTGTCATTCCTCGGCTGGTTGATCTGGGTGCACCCCCAAAACAGAGCAGCCCACACATGTAAACCTGCCTCAGCTCGGATTCCTCACCAGCAGGTTTACAAGCTCTGGAGGTGTTTGTGATCCTAACCCAAATAAAGGATCCCAACACATTCCTAGTTCCTCAATCTCCTCCTCTTGCACAATGTATGTCTCCAACTGCATTTTTATGATACCAATTGAAAGACCACAAGACAAGAGAAGTACCTCAAAGTGCCCATTTTCCTCAAAAAGGGGGTGGAAATGTACTGAATATTTACTGGACTGGAAAACCCATCACAGGGGAGGCTTTTCCAGAACAGCTAGGCTTAGCTCTTCTTGTCATTAACTCTTGTATAGGACAATGCCCCAGATTTTAACTGCAACAAGGGGAAAATAGGGCTTTTAAAAATTCATTCAAGCACACCAATATGTTTCATTATACCCTTTGTAGAGCAGATGGCAAGATGAGGATTTACCCTCTGGGCCTGCTTGAGGAAGCAAACGCAAATGCTTTTCTCACTACAGATCTCAGATGATGTTGGTGTCATCATTTCACTTGGGGATTTGGGTCAAAAGGCTTTACACTCAAATCTGTCTTTTATATAGTACAAGTGCACCCACACTAGACCCTAACGGATAAGCAGTGGGGAGGCTGGTATGCAGCAAAGAGCCCTCTCAGGCACTTCCAGGTCGCTGACTTACACTGGCACATTTACAGACTGAATCTTTCTAATCCAATTAAAATCTCATCTGAGCTGTCAATACAAATGTAGCCTGTTTTATTTTAGTGTCTCGTGGAACATGCATTAATCTGAACCTGTGGACAAACAAGCCCTTCTGGGCAAATTCTGCATTCTGCTAGCCCAGTTTCTCTCCTAGGTTCTCCCACTCGTAAAGCTCTTGCTGATCTCACATCATCTGCCTGCACAGGAACTCCTATGGACACACACAATCATCCTACCTGAATGCTTTATGAAAATGTGATATAATTCATTAACCTGAAAAGTAGCACTTTCCTCTCCTAGCTCACTTCTCATGCAATGATGGGTAGGGTACTATCATTAAATACAAGAACACAAATTTCATCCATTTTTATTTCAATGGCTTCATTTGTTTGAAATATATATGCCAGTTACAGGCTGTCAGCACACTTGAGAAGTTATAGCACAGACTAACAACTCACAAACTCCTGGGCCAAAATTTTTTGCAGCTCATCATGTATACTTGTCATTACATTTTGCACCGAAAACATTATAAATCTTACCATTTAATAGACTTCCACAGGACAGCTGCAAATTATTTTGCCACAAGCACATAGAAGAGAAATATTTGCCATAAAGCAAAAAGCTAAAAGCACCCTAAATACCACCACAAACTCAAACCTCTCGTAGAACCTGATACCCTTCTCAGTAAGCAAAAGCCCAGCAGCAAATACAAACAGGTCTTTCACTAGGACCTGAAGGTGACAAGTTCAAGTTAGGGCAAGCCAAGATCAGGAGCAAAGCACCTCTACTGGTGACATCTTCAGGAAAGCTAGACTGAATGCTTCAATGGCATTGGATAGGGATGAACTTTCATACAGGTGTTAAAGCCTTGCATGTGAAAACCAATTCTTAAGCAGCATCAGAAATAAATAGCAGAGCAGATTACAGATTACGCTCTTACTCAGGACAGATACCACACACAATTCTCCAGTCAGTCAGCTGCATTTTCCAAGAGGAATTCAAGTAGCCTCACAGAGAAAACAAACTGACTTAAATAAAGACCCATACTTTGTGAACCACACTCATAAGAAGAGATTCTCCATCAGCTGGTTAGTCTGAAGCAAGGAGATGCTTTCTTCTGTTCATGCCCTATTCGTACTGAAACAACTGCAAGTCTTACCATCTCGTTCCCACACCCTGCCACTGAACACTGCAAATGCTAAACATTTTCATAGCTTCTAGGGATGACAGAAAGAGATCACAGAGAAGAAATTCATACTAATTTATTATGTATGCAGAAAGCAGCTTTAACCAAGGAAATGCTTTGAGCTCAAATTACTAGAGGGTGGGAGAGTATTCTGGCAAAGGCCTTTCTATGGCTGCACCCTGGGCATCTGTTTTTTCTGCATTCTTCCCTGGGCATCTGATTTTCACCAGCATCTGAAATAGTAGCCTAGGCTAGGTAGGCAGATCATCGTTCTGACAAACTATAGCTGTCCATGTCTTTGATCTGACATAGTATAGTTGTCCATATGTTCACCTCCACCTGCATACCCAAATTATATAGCCATTTTTATTGCTACAGCACTTTGAAGCCACGCTCATACAAAAAAAAAAAAATACTGGGGTAATGTTATGTAAGTGTAATATTGAAAGATTTTTGGCAAACTCCTCCATTCTGAGATCCAATATGCTCTGTGCTATTTCTCACTCAGTAGCAGAACTCAGGCATAGATTACAGGTACCTCACTTTACATAACTCCCAAGCTCAGAGTGATGATGAGACAGCTATCAACTGCATCAAATGGTCATCACCTTTCTGATGGAGGTCCCAAAACAGCACCTACAACCTCTGCAGTGGTTCGCACAAATGCTGAACAAGAGGAAAAGATAGCAAGGCTCTTTGATGCCAGGCATGAACAGCAACTGACTGCTACTGGTAATCTACAACAGCATTTACCATAGAAGCAAACTACAAAGTTCATCTGAAATACCTGCTTATTTTCATGTTTACATCTGCTGCTGCAATAGCAACAGTTCATGGATCAAAGGCAACCGGACGATGAAACACAATGAGCATGGTCACCTGATTGTTATGCCTCATCAGCAGTATGTTGCCCATCAATAAACCAGTATAGTCCTTATTGACTGTTAGGGATCTGTTCTCTAGAGCACTTACACGGTTTCTTCTAATAGACTCAATCCTACACCTGAAGAAGTCCTGTCAGAATAAATCACCATATTTAAGCATTTTGTTTTACTTTTTATATAATTCATCCACCCTCTAAAATATAACAATCTGCCAGCAGAAACTTACCACAAGTTCAGAGAACCTGGCATTGAGCTCCTCTGCAGGTGGTATTGGGACAGAAAACTCAAGGAACTGGAGGGGGTTGTTGTCCTTGAGGTTGATTTCAGGGAGGTCACTACCTCCAAAACAACAAAGAAACCCCAACGCATGACGATTCCTCTTCCGTGGGGCCATGATCATTGTGTATGATGCTATCTTCTGATCATGTTCTGAAAGGAAAAAAAGAGGAGAAAAAAAGATGAGTGAGACTCCACCGGATCTGTACAGCTCTCTGCAATTACAATGGTCATCATTGGTGTAACAGCTTGGATAGAATGATTTGAGATACAAAAGACCAAAATAAACATTCAAGCTAGACAAGGTAGTTAGCTTTAATATAGAGTTACAGAATCACAGAATCACTTAAGTTAGAAAAGACCTCTAGAATCATCAAGTCCAACCATTAACATGTTCTTGAATGGCAATGTAGAATCGCTTCTCCCAAAGTTTCTCAAAAGGTTTTACTAACTCAGTGATCTTCCAACAGACATATTTATCAGTAAAGCTCACCAGCCAAGGTTGAATGCTATCATTGGATACCAGTTTTGGACTTTTGCTCACTGCTACAGTAAAGGAACTAAAGTATGTACTGAAGTATTTACCCAGAAGGAATGGGAGAATCCTCCAAAGACGTGCCATTTGATCAAAATAAAACAACAACAACAAAATATCAACAATGAAACGATAAAACAGAAGTAATTTTTTTCACCACTCTGGACGCACACTGGCAAACATTCATTTATCCCTTTATGGCCAGGATTATTGCAGTAGGACCATTTTGTCTATCATGTTTTCAAACACATGTAACCAGTTTGGGCTGCTTTATGTATCCAGGGGAGAAATTGCACAGTGCTAATGCACGCTTTCAGATTTACATTTGAGCTGCCAGATCCAGTCTTGACAGGACCCAGGCTTGAGGGGCTTTGGTATCAAGGAGCGTAAAGGGAGGCAAAAGGAGGCCTGAAGTTGGATTTGGAAAGTGACTGATTTCACCACACAACACCGTTTGTGAACAGCCCATCCAAACAGGAAGCCTCCTGCCAGCAGTTTGAAAGGAGGGATCTGTGCAGTCCACAGAGAGCCGCATATTTTGCCCTTTTAAGGGACTTGTTGTTTGACAGCTCAGGGGCTTATTTGTGTTATATTTTTTAAGGACTTCACTTTTTCACTTAATCTGCAGAATAAGCCTTATCCTTAGAGAGTAAATAATTAAAGCCTGTTGCAAACCCTGGCTCCCTGGGCACAAGGCGGAGGAGCAGCGAGGGAGGTGGCAGGTGAACGGAGCCGCGGGATGCTGGATGCTGTAACTGCAGCAACACAGCTGAGCTTTGTCATCGGAGCAGCTGCTGCCCTAACCTGCCCCACAATGCTTTGGCCTGTTTGCTTGCCAGAACAAGGCTGCTTTGAGCTCTCAGAGAGACTAAGTGGCTGTGCTAGGAAAAGCACCTTTAGGTCAGCAGTTGCATCGTGGGACTTAACATACTGCATTCAGCCAGAAGCTCTACAGGGAAACTTTGTGTAGAAATCTGAGCACACTTGCTTAAGAATAAAAAAAGAAAACAAACAAGCAAACAAAAAAATAACCCCAAACCCCCAGCCTCGATGCACTATGTGCTTGGCAAGAACCAGAAAGCTTCTTTGTGCTGGAACTAACTTACCTAGCACCTCCTTTTACACACTGGGGGACACCAACTCTCATGCAGACTGAGCTGGTATCAGGCCCTTTGCATGCCTGTTTTCCTTTGCTCTCCATGCCAGGTTTGCGATGGCTGCTACGTCTCAGCAGGACCCAAGAGAGCAGCGTGATGCCAGCTTCACCAGTACATTGATAAAATCATTGGATTCTCACTAAGAGAGGCCAAAGGCCAGCTTAACCCTGGAACCTGGCCTCTGACGCTGATCTTACAAAAAGCAAAATGTCCTCAGTTCCAGCACAACAATGTACGCAACTTAATTTCCTCTCAGTGGGGTAGATTAAAAGGCTGAGTTCTTAGAAGATTTCACAAGAGAACTTCAGAAGAAGTTGATCTTGTTCACTGCAGATCTTCTCCTCAGGGACTTCTCTGAGTGCAATGTCCTTTATGGTAGCCTGGCCATGGATAAGGCCAGAACCCATTATTTTGACATACCATTAGTTTGGAAGGAACTCATACCAATGAGTCAAGCCTGATTTACATCCAGTATAACTACATTTCCATCAATTTTGTTGCAACTAAATTCTGATCTACTGTTGAGATACTTCCTCACCAACCACCAAAATTCTCTGGGTGCATGGAGTGAATCCTACTTGTAAAAACTGGCTTAGACACTGAAACAATAGCACCACAATATCTTCCTTTATGAGCTCAGGTCAAGATTTTGGTAAGCACCGCTCCAAAAGAGGCACTTTACCAGTAAATAAGTACTACAGAGAAGGCCATGAAGGTCAGCATTTTCTGTGGGTTAAGTACTGCCCTGGTCAGGGTACCACAGGATGCCTTGAACTGACATTTTATCATTCAGCTTTCATTTTAAGCAGGCTCACCAGAGATGAGCAGTCATTCTGTAGGCCTTCTTCATCCATAATACTGAAAAATACATGGGCTTGTTCCTGCAATGCTTTAATGAAATTGGCACCTGTTCCTTAGGATCCATACTTAAGACACTCAACAAAGCTATTCAACTTTGATTAGTTTGCAAAAGTAGGCAGAGCTCACACAAGGAGAAGCCTTGTAGTACATCGTTTTCACAGAACATTCCATTGCACAGCCTGTACTCTGGCATTTTCCGGGTCCATCTCTAAGAGACATGCAGGAAATTAATACTGACATGGAAGGGTTACATGGCCCTTCTGTATTGCTACAACACTGTAATTGTAGAGAGGTGACGTGTCTAGATGGATTTAAAATAAAAAATAAGAGAGAGAGAGAGAGAAAGAGAGAGAGAGAACTGCTAGAAAGGAATCCAACATAGGTTCATGAATCACTGATTGAATAAATTAATATATATTTCTAGCTGGGAGCACTGTCTTTCTAAAGATTAAGGCTGCCAACCACAGGATTCAGAGAAGCATTTACTTAAGTAACTGGTTATGCTATTCAATATTAATAAATGTTTATTATATTTACTATTTATTCTCTTTGAGAATGAATTACTTCTCCTTGTTTTTTGTTTGTGAGTATAGTTTTGAACAAAATAAACATTTTCCGATACCCTCTAAATCATTATTTTTTTCTTCTTTTCTTTCTCTTTGTCTTTTCAAGAAACAAATCTGGGGGGAAAAAAAGGTGTTTCCAAGGAAAAAAGGGAAAAAGAAGGATGAAGCAAAAATCTTTAATTTTTCAGAGTGGCAACCAATAACAAAGATCTCATAAAAATTCTTTTAGAAGCTCACAAAAGTAACAAGTTTTACATTTTTATCTTCCTAAAGAAAGATCTGTTACCTTTCAACTTCTTACAAGCAAAGCAACTGTAGAAATGAAACAAACGTGAAATTATCCATTTCTAAACACCTCCCGTGAGAATCAATGGGAAATCTCTCTCTGGAGGGAATCCCACTATTCAACATAATTCCCTTCCCGAGCTCTTCTTGGTTGCATTATCTTGCCCTTTTGCACAACCCGAAGAACTTGCTGTCATTTCAACAGCTAACCGCACATCCTCGCCTCATAGCGAGCCCCCTCGTGCTTCCCAGCCCCATCTGTGGTTCGGCTCAGGTCAGGAGTCACAGTCTGGAACTTTGCCCAAGGTCTAATTATAACAATGTCCTCTTCCCCTAACAGAGCGTACGTGTTCATTTCTAAACCATTTGGCCCAGTGACCAAACATAATTAAGCTAATGCTTTTTTTTTTTAAGTCTTATCAGAAGTTTTAGCCACATGGGATGGGATCCCTGCTGACTGCACACAAGGCTCTTTCAATTGCAGACTCCTAATTGTTTCTCCAGTCCCACTGGAGAAATATCCTAACTGAGCAGTGTTCCACAAAGAGCAAGACACCTGAAAATGCTGTGTCAGCAGCAATGCTGTGTAGAAAGCTGAACATTATAGTTTTTACCTCATCACTGCCCTCTCCTTCACCATAGTGAACAGCCAGGGCATAACCAAAACAGAGAAACTGACTTTCATACCCACCATCTTTTGGAAAACAGAAGGAAGAGTGAGAACTCTGTGGGTTGACTAAACACACACACAGCTTGAAAAAACAGTTTGCAACATAAGGAAGCATTAATAGAAACCACTGATGCACCATCTTCCAGAGCTGAATCCCTACTATCCTCACCAGATGCAAAATGTCAGTGGGTGCAGCCTAGGCTCTCATCTGCGAAGGAAGAACGGGACAGCATAATGTAGAATCACTATCTCCACTAGTTTATTCTAACAGGTGAGGAAACAAAGTGAGCCATTTCCATTTCCCTGGTAGATCTCTATTTCTACAGCAGAATGGAATGTATAAATTTGATGCAATGCTGCAGAAGTAACAAGAAACCTGAATCTGGACTGACTTGGAGCAGAAACTAATACCACCACCCCAAATCCAAGTTACATTTCTACGTTATTCAACTATTTAATAAACCATCAGAACTTCGTGGTATTATAATAGCTACCTTCATCTTCACTTACTGGATTGTGAAATGAAGAAAACAAGCACCATGCTGAAAATCATCAAAATGTGCATACAGTTTGGTAAAGCTAAACAGTCCCGTTCTCCTAATCCTATACTCAGTTCCCTGGACTACATTGCTTCTCCGGTACACAGATGGTGTTGGGCTTCATGGCACGTTCCAATTACCATGCACATGTTCCACACATGTCACGTGTAACATGACAGATGTCGTGTGTAATACGAGGCATTTGCAGCATGGGGGGTGATGAAGGGAGAGTGTGTGGAAGCAATCCATTTGTTCCATCTGCAGTTAACTCAGCTCCTTGGATTTGGTTTTGCCAGCACAGTTAGGAGTCCTGGCCTCTAGGGGCACAAAACAGCAGCAAAATAACCAACTACTTAAAACCCACTAAGTTGAAGTCTTTCTTTCAGGAAGGAGGGCAGTCCTTCCTGAGGAGCACGCCTGCCTACTGTGTCGAACAGGAAAGCACCAGACCTGAGCAAACAGATCAATTGATCACAGGAAGGAAATTTTTAATTCTTTATTGATGGATGGATGACTAATGGCTACTAACGTTAGTCTGTT